CAAAGGCCAATCACCATATGTACAAGAGCCAGGGTCTGCCTTCTTTCACCGTGTTCGCTCGAGCATGGGCCAAGAATAATAGCTGAAAAGCGGGCCGAGGATCTTAATTTTTACAGCGGCTCTTGCCGCGTCCTGGCGCGAAGGGGTTAAGGGGTACTGTAGCAAATTATTCACCATGCTGTCAATGCAGGCAAACTTACAACGAATCATATTGATGGAGTTAAGGAATATTGGTCAGCAATAAATCTGTGCTAAGCAAAAAATTAGCTGATATCCAGCTTTAGACAATTCAATTGACTAACATTTATTCAACCCGCTCTTGTTCATTGCAATACTTTCTGTGCTTATCCGCTCTCTGCATTGGCTCTAAGGATGTAACAACCAAAATCCGGCAAAAAGCCTTAAAATCTAATAAAATCCCATTCACACATTTTCAAAGGTAATAGCCAGAGGATTAGGGTCCTCGCTCCGGCAAGAAAGTTTTCAATATTTCAGTTGACACGATTTCAGGGAACCTGCTCCTAGATCTAAGTGTAAAACTTATTAAACCTATTTTGCAGACACAATTTAAGTGAAAATTACTGGGATGCTAAGAAACCTTTTCTTGTCATACAAATGCCTTTTCCTTGTCTCCAGACATTTCAGAAGTATGGCATTTTATTTCATTTTTCAATGTGGTTTTTGACATAATGTGAACACAGTCTCAGAGAATGACTTACAGTACATGCGCCTAGCCTGAATTCAAAGTCACAACATGTCACCTTCTGCAACAGACACAAAAAAAACTGACGCTCACCATTGCACTATACAAGGTACAGAAAAACCTATACAGCCTCTTGGGTGGATGATGGGACTTCTTGTCAGCGTTGCATAACCACTGAAGTGCTGAAATGCTGAGGAGAGATATGCCTGAGTATTACCATTCAAAACCAAAGTGAACAGGGCAAATTACATACAGCTGTTTAATTAAAGCAGAAAATATTGCTGAGCAAACTTTCATGCTGGGCGATATGCAACAGAGGGCAAGTCACAAGAAAAAGAAAACAAGAATTTTACACAGAATTTTCATCAGAATGGATACAAAATGTTGTTTGGAACCCTGAAAATGCTGCACAAAGCGCCTATGGGGAGTATGGTAGATCTTCAGATCAAACGCTCTTTGGGGCATTACATTTCAGTGTTTGTTTCCCAGACATGCCAGATGGATTAAAAAAAATCTGCAGTTTTTTTCCCGATGTTATCTTTGGTACCTGATTACGCCGTCAAAAGTTCCTGGTTTGAAGAAAACACCCTGACCCATGTCGCTCACAAACAAGTCCCCTTCCACCTCCCGCTCTAAGGCAATATCTGTTAAACAAAGACAAACAGACCTAAAAGTTATGTCCAAAACTGTATTACACTTGCTAAAAATTGATGGTTGAGGTTCACAGTAGGGTAAATTAAGAAGATACACTAGAAAAGCAAGGTTGAATGGGAAAATGAAGATAACCAGAAGCCAAAGTTTTTGAACAGCGCGGACCACCACAAAAGGTTGTTCAGCTGAAAAAATTCTGCTTAGCAAAAACAGGTTACATGACAATAAATCTGATGATACATACTGGTAGTGAATGGTTCTCTTTCTCTGCTTTCTTGTGCCTGGTCTTGTGCCTGGTTTTGGGACTGGTCTTGTGCATGGTCTTGTGCCTGGTTTTGGGACTGGTCTTGTGTCTGGTCTAGTGACTGGTCCTGTGACTGATCCTTTGTCTGGTCCTGTGTTTGGTCTTGTGCCTGGTCTTGTGTCTTGTGTTGCGACTTATCTTGAGTTTGGGCTTGTGACTGGTCTTGTGTTTGGTCATGTGACTTGTCTTGTGTTCAGTCTTGTGATGATTTCAACTACTGCACTGGCTTTCACCGTTTCTCACCTAGCATATTTGTACTGATGTCAAGCCCCATCCAGTAATGTCCCTGCTCCGTTAAAGTTTCACCACTCAGGCCTGACCCACAGCTGTAAATCAAAGATGAAACAAAGCTCTGTTGTTGTACCAATATTTGAACATTCAAATATTTGAATGATTATCAAACATTCAAAGTTGAATATTCAGAGGTGAAAAGTGGGAGGAAAAAATTCATTATTTGGTTAAAAATTGCATTCTAACGACAAACTTTAAGATGAAATTTGCCTATTGCCGAAACCTAATTTTTTTCTTTTAGTATGCGTATTGTACATATTTTGTTTCTGCTTTATGGCAATTTGGTTCTACTGAATATTCAAATATTCAGTTGAATTGAAGGTGAATATTCAAATATGCAATTACTATTCAAATTTACTTAGCATAAAGCAGAAGGGGTTTCTTTTTTAAGCAACATACCCTACATCCAATACGTATGACGGAGTGTCCTCTGGAAGGTTGAGAAGTTCTACTGCACGCTCTGACATTGTCATTTGAATTTCTATCATTCTGGAACTGGAAAGCATATGTTATCAATATCAACAAACTGTTTCAATTATCACTTATTGTTCAATTATGACAACTGATTTTCAATAAAGAAAGCAAATCCCTGATATAAAAAGTACCCTGTCTTGGTGTATTAAGATGTTTCTACGAAATTGTACAAACTGAACATTTAAAGACAATTTTGAAATGACTTTGAATAAAAACTGATGATTATAACATTGGTAAACAGATCTAATTGAAACAAAGACTTACTTTGATGTGTACTTTCTTGCTTCTTCTTCGTTGTAAAACTGTAGTTATTAAACAAAATGTAATGGTTCTCTGACAATAAGGTTTAACCAGTCACAAAGTGACCTTCATAGGAAAAATTCAAACTATTTGAAGATGCCTTACAGGAAAATTATGTAACAAAAGTGATCCCGGTGCACTAAAATTCACAGATAATAAATAATGGTGATTAACCCTGACAATCCTCAATCCTCCAAAATCCTGCATCCTGAGGATGTAAGACAAAATTGAGCGGCCGACTGCAAAGGATACATTGTGTCAAGGTCTTGGATTAGACCTTGGATTGTTCACGCACTACCATGCATAAACTCAAACCAAGAGGCATGAAATTATGAATCTCTACTGCTTTAGGCATGTCAGGATATCAATTGCACTGCCTCAACATAATTTGCTGGAGGATTGAGGCAGTGGTCACCCTTCTCTGGAGTAAATCTTTATATCAAATAATTAGAAAGTTCCTTGATGGCCTAACACTTCATGTGCCATTTACAGTCAAAATTGTTCTGATTTTTTGTCTATGACCTAAGTAGGAATGCACTTTCCCTTACTAAGAATTCAAGGTATTCGTGTCGTAAAACTTGTGCTTGTTATACATGTTTTACATACATATGCTTGTAGAACAAGCATACACGTATGTAGGCCTAATGGGTAATTCCAGAAATTCGGGCTCCAAAAGTGTGACATTTGCACGTCCCTGTTACATCTGACCTTTGTTCTTTGACATGGAAATATCACCGGAATTGATTTCAAACTATTATAATTTGTTTGGCAGGTAATTTGCATGAATTCATCACACTTGGAAATTAGAAAGTGTGTTCTGAACTTACAAAACCATATGTCAGAGGTGACAGGGACGCAAAAAATGGACCCTAATTTCTGGAATTACCCTAATACAATGAACTTAGAATTTGAAACACTAATGTTTCTGTGTACTTTTCAATGAATTTTTTATGTAAAAGTGTCAATGTGGCGGACGCTAGTTATTTTTCCCTACAGTGACCTATTAGCCATTAGAAAGCAAAAACATGACCAGAAAAGTTCAATTTAGGAGGAAAAATACGAAGTCATTTACTTAGAAAACACAATTTTTCAGACCAGTTTCATAGGGTTTGTGCACAGGGTGTCAAGTGGCGTCCGTATATGGAACTCTTTCTAACATTTGCATGCTACTAAGTACCACAAACATCTTAGGCAGTATCATTTGGTTGACATCCTGACAGTGATAGTCAAGAGTCAAACATGTCAAAACAAGTAATAAGCCTCTTGCGAGCTAAATTTGAATAAAATCTGGTACACTGAGTTACCTGATTGCACATGAACCATATAATAATAACAATTTGAATTCCCTAGACTAAAGACACTGTTGCTATATCTTGTGATTCAGGGCAAGCTTTTGCATAGCTAGGCTAACACCATTTCTGGAATGGACTGGTTCCTTTGAGCTCTTCTTATCAATTGAAAACAGTGTGTTAGTGCAAGGTGTCTCATGTAACTAAGTAAAAACTTGCCCCGAGTCACAAGGCAGGCCTATAGCAAGTAGCCTAGCCTGCCAATGGAGAATTCAAATTATGTTCACGTGAATTTAAAGAATTCAATGTGGGCCTACCAGATTTAATCAACCTTTTCGACGTTTGCAATGCCTTATGGGTTTGGATGACAAACAAGCAATGCATTTTATGCACAACCGTATGGGGGGAAGTGAACCGGTCAGAAATCAATTTACAGTTTTCTACTAGTACTAAATATTTTTTAAGTATCTGCTTATCAACTCACAGATGCATGCGTTTTATCAGATTATACAAGAAACATATTCAAATAAGTTTTCAAATGTTTGTAAGAAGAAAAAATCACCCTTAATTTTTTTAAGGGCCCCAGTCACTCTACAGGCTGAAAATGAAGGTGACTGGTCAATGCGGAATGAATGAGCTATAACTTTGTATAATTCATGATCTTAGTCAAAGCACAGTCCATGACAAAAAATCTGTTGTTGGAAGGGATTCTCTGAATTTTCCTTTTCTGCCAAGCTTTAATTTGAACTTTAAAATTTGTGAATATCTTCGTCCCAAATCAATAATGCAACACTGTGTCAGAAGGGGACGACTTGAATTGGACTATGAAATAAAACGGAAAAAGATTAACGTTTTGCAGGTACACTTCTCCCATAGGGTTGTGCATAAAATGCAATGCATGTTTGTCATCCATATACCCATAGTGCACAGCGAACGTCGATAAGGTTTATTCAAATTTATTCGCAAAAGGCTTATTTTTATGTATGCTAACTCAGAACTTTAATACTGTACCATCTCTGGGGGAGCCTTGTGCTCCGGTCTTCGGCAAGACGCCATGGTGGTGTGAATTACACGGGAGTTGATTGCCACGGCCGATAAACATAAACTCGTTTCTCTGGCGCTCGATCTGAAGTACAGGTTGCGCGATCTGAGTTGCTGGTGTTGAGATCTTACCAACTTCAATTTCCACTTCTTAAACTCTGACAAAGAGACTTCAAGACTTGTCCAACTTTTCCGAACTGGAGCTAGAGAAGTGACTGATTTACAGGAAACTATCAATCTAAATGCCATACACGGCAATACTCATTTCTAACCCAATTTCAGACATGTCAGAGAGTGCTCGACGTAACGTTACCCTCAAGTACAGTACATCAAAGTGGAACATACAGTGCACATGGCGTTTGGGAAGATCCATGTATTCTGATTTAGGGAGTAATTTTTTTGTAATTCTATTCAAGACGAAATCATTCAAAGGGTCAGTTTCAATATTTGTTACTTTGGTCCTCATTAAAATTGTTACAAATTATTAAAAACTTCTATCTTGTTTTAGCGGTAAACATTTGGTATATGCATTCAATAGATTAATTTTTTTCCACTCTTACGGTTTGGGAACTCCCATTCTAATATAGACGTACCCGGAACCGGAGTAATGAAATAATTCGCGAACAAATATATCGTAAATCATGAATGTCAAGGGTCAAACCGGTGTTGTGATGGTAAGGGCTGGCTGCTTTCGTTAGAATTTCCCCCCATTTGCGGGTTTTAAATAGTCACTAATGCCTCCCCTGATATTAACCTAGGCGGTCCCTAGTCTTACATTCCAAGAGATCAAGTTGTCCTTCGGTTTCATGGGAGTTTAGGTAGTGATTAGCCAGTCAGAAACCGGGCAGATGGAAATTGGCCTGATGAGCGATGACATATCATCATCATGCAACCATGGAGAAATAAAACTTCTCCATGATGCAACCATTCTAATTACTGTCAACACACACAATACCGGCACCACACGGTCATCACACCGTCAATGCCTCTATGCCTCTTTTATGTCTTTAAGTTTAATAAGCCAATTTTCTGTTCCGTCGCCATGTTGATTTTTTAGTGTCTCCGCACCAGTAAGTGAACAAAGCTAGAGGGGAACAAATTGTCTACAACAATAACAATCACGAGTGTCCATTTGCCAAATGTTACGCAAAGTTGTCATGAATTTGTTTTTGCACAAATATGCTTGAATAACTTGTTGACGCTTTGTTGACGCTCACTGACGCTTGTTGATGCTAAATAGCATGACCCTCTGATTTAACTTTTTAACTTGAGTTAGGGCTAGGCTAAGCCAACAAATGGCTGTGTGGATCATTAATATATTAAGTCCTATCTGTTATCATGTAATAATTTGAGATCACACATATCAAAACGGCAAGTTGATGGTATTAAAACAGTTCAATTCTTTTAATATAACAGTGAATTGACATGGCTTTAAACTGACTTATTCAATAAGTTTTAGCTGAGGTAATTTCAAATCACCCAAATCATTAAATATTTTATTTGATTCCTACTTTTAGAGTGTGCCAAAGGATAAAACAACCAAAACATTTTCAACACAGCATAATCATGTGTTTTTTTCTGTGCAATACAGTGTTCAGGATTGTCATCAATCATGAGGGTTGCTTGGTCCAGGCCAAGGCCAAACCAGTTCCTGTCTGCTGTCTCTCTGCTATGCTGCCGGTACCAAGTGAGAGGCTACAAACATCACAAGCACAAGAAGGCTGAAGCCCGCCTGAATTTCTACACCGTTCTCGGAGTCTCCCCGAAGGCCACCCAGTCCCAGATCAAAGGGGCCTACTACAAGCTCTCCAAGATCTACCACCCGGATGTCAATCAGGGCAGTAAGGCTGCCCAGGACCGGTTTGCCGCCATCAGCGAGGCCTACAGCGTCTTGGGCAACGTGAAGCTGCGACGGCGCTATGACCGTGGAATCTTCTCCGAGCGGGACTTGCACAGTGAGAACAAGGAGAAGGTTTCCCACCAGGAGAAGGACAGCTCCAGGAAGTACAGCGTCTACTACAACACCCACGGGGAGCGCATGTTCGACTTTGATGAGTTCTACAAGGCGCACTACGGCGAGGCGAGGCTCCGAGAACAGCGGGAGCGTGAGGCCCGCAAGCAGCGCTCCGAGGAGTGGCGCAAGGTACAAGAACAGAATAAAACGCCAATATGGGTGCTTCTGACTTTATCTTCTGGAGTGTTGGCATTTTCGTCATGGTTATTACGGAAATGGTGATCAGGACAGAATTGTGCCATATATAACCGTTTTAATTTATGCGTGATGTAAATCTGTTTCAATCTATAAAGCCACTTTTGAAGTTAAAATTGACAGGTTGCTGTCACAGTAACAAGCAGCTGATTCTCAGGTTGTCTGGAAATCAACAAGGGGGCTGATTTCACAGGGCTGCAAAGTGGTCAGCAAAATGTAATTCATGTTTACCAGAGCAGGATTATGCTAACCACCCTAACCCCTTCCAGGCTCTTTCAACTGTGATACATCCTCAGTTTCTAAAAATCCAACATTTTCCTGGTAGAAATTGGCTGCATCTTCTATCCTCCAGAATCCTCTGTTTTGTCTTGAAAGTGTTCCTTGGAGGGGTGGTTACTGCCTTAATTCTTCAGAACCCTCCATCAGTTTCTGAATTATCACATCAAGGCAATACGCCTGATACATTTATCTTGGAGCAATGGGTGGACAACATGCAGCCTTCAATATCTGCCTCCAAGTTTTGCCATAAACACTCTGCCTCAGTCCTCAGACGTCCTCCAAGGATTTGGAGGATGAAAAATTAGAGAATTTATAAGCCTGCATCACAGCTTAAGTTTTAAGGGCGCGTCCCCGCAGGTATGAACATATTCTGTGCTTTGCCCTGGAAAATGGTCCCAATCACCCTGGTGAAAAGTTTTAACAAAGCCTTTTTATTCAAATGTTGAACGTTGACCACAGAGTGTGCAAGTAGTTGACCAGTTGTTGAAATGATCTGCAGAATTACAACAGCTCATAAGTGAAATGTAGCAAAGTCTGCCATGTAAAGGGACTTTTTTGTGGTTCTCTTGTAACTTTGACAAACCCAAGATCATGTGAAATTATTATGGGTGTCAGTCGCTTTTCATAAGTGGGGTGGGACATAACCTTGATCAGAACTAATGTGAACAGGCATCCCTAACTGCATGGGTCCGGGGCCTGAAAATTTTGCACTCTCCATGCTGTGTGACTGTGGTGTGATCAGAGACAATTTCTGACCTCTTTTTTTTAGCAAATGCTTGGGCAAGATTTTATTAATTATTCATTTTTAAAATAAGTAGTTTCTTTGAAATTTTATGCAAGTTTGGAACCATTTTTTTTTGGTCGTTACCACTTTTTCCCAGTCACCAAGAGAGAGGAAATATTTGGCATATATAAACAGCTGAATCTGAAATATGAATCAAATGTAGGCCCACTTCCCCTGCATTTTTTATTTAGGGTCCAGAAGAAAAGGGGGGATGGAAGGGACAAACGATTTAATAACCCCCCCCACTGTAGAAGTAGAAGGGCATGTCCCCCACAACCCCCAACGATTAACATCCATGGGAATGATTTATCTTTGCATCATGTCCTCCATTAATCTCTTACTTGGATGGCAACCAGTACATGTAGTTTGCATAAGAAATTTAGGCAACTCTTATTTTTTCTCCACAGGAATCTCGCATTGATATGATTTTCCAGATGTGACCTGGTTGGAATCAAGTAACTCTAGCATTATGCGTCCTGTTAACAAAACTGACACTTTTGGCACCATCCATGTAAACTGCAAGCAAGCAAATCTCGTTTGACCTTAAATAGTACTCTAAACTGCAAAAGTCATAAATGTACAAAATCATTCACCTTATCATTCACGCATATTATGAACCAAACAAATTTTACGTATTTTTTTAGAGTGAACTGTTCAAATGTACAATGCTGAATCCATTTTAATTATAACTTTAGTGCTCTCAGGATGACTGAATAAATAACAAATGTAAGTCAAGCTGTGTTAAATTTCCAAAGAATATTCATTTTATTTACAACGTTTACTATCACATGTATAAACAATTTGTTTTTCACTGTACATGATGCATGCATTTCAACAATCAAAGGAATATATGACAGTGAAGCAAGTTCCTCTGCATCAGTGAAACAAGTCAAAGAATGATCGTGACCACAAATCTGAGTCAGTGAAAAATATCTAAATAAAAACACAAAAGGGAGTATCTGATGAATTACGGAGCACACACCATACGAAATGTTACAACTTTGTGGCCATGCTGGTCATGTCTTACAGAAATTCACTTTTTAATCATATAGTTCGGGACCTCCAGATATGACCACTTTGCTTGCATGGTTTTGTGGCAAGTCAAACGTGGTTGATTCAGTAACTCTAGGCCTCCTCAGAAGAAAAAAAAATGAAATGAATGTAATTGATTAAAATGAATTTCCCATGTTGAATTTGTCATTGTACTGAAAATACAATTACTGTGATTTCCTGTATTTTGGTGAATGAAAGACGGGAAAAGTTAAATACGTATACCTACATGTCAATGAAATTCCCATCTGATAATTAATTTTTCAATCCGATTAAAAGGGCAACTTCCTTGCCATAAATGGAGCAAATACAGGGGCACTGAATCCACACTATTTTTTGGAAATCAACTACTTCCAACCATTATCCCATGAATAAAATAAAATTCTGCATGCACACTTGGGCCAAATTCTATAAACAAAGTTATAAGAGTAATCAGCCCCAACAGAGAGATGTTGATGAACGTGCACAATATCCGCTACACATTCCTAATTCTAAACTGGAAAAAAAACCCACTGAAGTAGATGCATGCAAATGGTGCACCCACTTCAAATGAGAAGGGGGAGCATGGGGGTGGAGCTTAAGAGTTGTCTCCCCCCCCCTTTGGAAATAGGAAAGGGGAGGTGGAGTTGGGTATTATGCCCGAACCCATTGCCCCTTCCACAGAAAGGTGTCTCTCCCCGGTAAGCACTACCCAATTTGCAAATTTTTAAGAGTACATACAATCGCGGCATTTTCTACATCTCTATGCTGCTTACTACAATGCTTACAAAGGAAATCACCTCTAACCAGACTGGAATAAAGCGATTATGTTTTGCCCACTGCAGTAGTTTAGCTTGGCTTAATAAATCAGATTACATGGCGATTTTGAAATCTGGTCAGAGTAATCAAACCACGAGAATTCAGGGAAGTGGGCTTATTTCTTCCAGATTATGGTGCTGCGGAGCATGTGAAATTGCTGATTTTCGATAGTGTTTTCAAGATGTAATTGAAAGTGTGGATGAGATTGCCGAGGCAGAAAGCAATCTGCTGAGCTGCGACTCAGTGTTGTTGTTGAGACCTCTGAAAACCACCACAAGACCAATTCGAGACCTCCAGTCTGAAATCAAGTTGCAAGCTTTTCAATTGAGCAGCAACAAAACCATTCCTTTGGTCTTTTTTATCCTGTAACTTGCGTCTGGTGTTTTGATGGCCTCGACTGCAACACTGCTGCAATTGTGCACCGGGCAAAATGCCAAACAGTGCATATTATTTCTGCCTGGTGCTCCACTAAGCGCAGAAATCTGCAAAGCACATGAACATATTACCTGCAAAGAAACATTCTACCAGCCAAAAAACTGCTTGTATATATTGCTTATGACCGGTTCCCTGATAACTTTTGCTTGCAACAGAAACTTGCTCAGCAGCTCCACACAGACTTAGCCCTTTTGATAAAAATCTTTGCTTGGCAGCCAATCAATTTGGCTTTCCAGGGTTGGGGAATTACCTGCCGCATAAATGTGCCAGAGAAAATAAGGGGCTTGGTGTAAGTTAGTGAAAAAATCTACAAGACTGCCAAGCATGTGCTAGGTTTTTGTGTCTGGGCCCAGTTTTGTGGCTTTGCTTACCGTGGCACTCTGCCCTCGTATGATCTTCTTTCTAAGGTTACAGCACATGCCAGCATACAAAATATTGTGCTGAAACCATAAGCATGGAATCCTCAGTTACATTTAAGGGACTGACACGTATGCATGCGTGTAATCAATGGAATATGCTGCAGGGATACCAGAGCCTGCAAATACAGCCAGAGGAACCTAACTACATGTATACAGGTACCTTGTAAAGGCCTGAAATTAGTCCGTTTTATATGAAAAAGCCTGAAATCCCCGATGCTGCCGTTTTTTTAGGCCCTGGTATTCCTGCAGCGTACATACATACAAGTGGAAATTCTTCACTTGTGGTCAACCAAAGCCACTATATTGGGGCGTGGGCATGCCTGAGCTTAGCTTTAATTTTCTGTGCACACACACACACGAGGAAGAAAACTGGCATCTAGTGCGGATATGAGCCCAGCGTGGGCATCCTGGGTGGGGCCCCTGGACCGTAGTTGGGACCCTGGTAGGGTAATCTGGGCGCTGGCCTCTGTGGTTGGTAGCTGTAGGGCGGGGCACCGTGCGTATTGTGCGGGTAGTGGGACATGGAGGGCGGGGCATGATGGGGTTGACCGTAGGGCGGCATGGATGAATGTTGAGAAGTGGCACCTACCAAGAAAAAAAAAAGCATGAGATTTAGAGACACACGTAGTTCTCATTTTGTCAAATGAAAAAAACAATTATACAGACACGCATGTTCTGTAGTCCACAAACCTTTGATTCCAAGGCATGATAGATGTACACAGCACAGATGACTTGAGTAAAATACCCCTTGCTTTTCTTTGTCAGTTTAGAGCAACAAAGACAACGTGTCACTCCACACTGTATGCCTAAATTCTTCGCACACAGCACATGCAGTACGCCCACACAATATTTTGTGCAGGAGTGGTACGTAAGTCCGTAAGTCACACAAATGTGTTATGAACCACCAAACTAGCAAAGACTAGATGCCATACATAAAGCGGGGTCAAAAGCAAACAGGAAATGCAAGGATAGGCAACGGTGTTTTGTTTCATCAATTCCACAAGCAAATTTGCACCTGCTGAACAGTTCAGCGTGAAATCTGTACTCATTTGTTAATGGGAGGTAGATGTAAGCATACACTGTGCTATCTCTATTCCTTAAACAGGTTGCATTATTAGTCGGTAGTGTGGCAAAATTCTCAGAAATGCAGAACACTTTCCATCTAAAATTTCTCTGGAATTCCAAAAGAGATGTTGGGAATTGTTGTAGATTTTGGGAAAAACTGCTGGGGTATTTTTAATACCTGCTGTGTCAAAAATGTTCCTAAAATTCAGCTCACCACGTTTTGAGCATTTATGGATTTGGGAGTTTATAACCTCAACAAAAACTGAAAATACAGATCATTCGCATTCAAAGGACACAAAAGACTATCACTTGCTGATGAAGCATCATTTCAAAGTAAATCTCAACCCATTTGCGTGCACAGCAATATTGAAGTCAAAACAAAGATTCTTTCATTTTACGTATAAAGAGCTAGAAAATATCAGCAAAAATTGTTCTTTCTAAGGGGTAAATTACAAGTAGATTTTACCTTTACAAAACTAAAAGCCCTCAATTTCCAAATTACAGAAAATTCCCCCCACCCCCAAAAGTGTATGGAATAATACCCTTGGTAAGTGGTTGAGAATATATTTTAATGCTGATCAAATTTCTGACCCTGGCAGATCTGGTGAAATCGGAAACCCTGCTCAACGTACCTTGTGGGGCAGAGGAGGTGGCAGTCTGTCCCCGCCCCTGCTTGTTGAGTATCTCCTGCATCTTCTCCGCCTTGATGTGCCGCAGATGGGCCGTCTGTCGCATGGGCATGAACTTCTCAATGAAGTCCTCTACCGACAAGTCTCCCTTTAGGAAGTCATCGGCGATTTCCTAAGGAGTACGACACAGAAAGTTTAGAAATCCAAACACAGTCAGAGTAAAGGCAACCTTCAGGGCTTACTCTTGTTACTTAGAGGGGTATGGCCTAGTTGTTGGGGTTTGCGAGTCGCAAAAATGGGATCGGGGTCTGAAATCTAGCTGCTGGACACACGTTGCAACCTTGGACAAGTCACTTTATCCATACTTGCTTCTCTCTACCCAGGAGTATAAATGGATACCAGTGAGGGTAGAAATGGTGGTTGGCATCAGGAATGCCAACATCGAGTGGCATACTCCCAAGGGAGCTACGATGGCTTGAACCCTAACCCCCTTAAGGTGTATGTAAAATCATATTGAAATTGAAGGATTTGGGACTGTTAGGGATGTTAGGGCTATGAAATGTTTATGGATCCAGTGAGCATGGTTAATAATGATAAAAACATAACATATAATCAGTGCTCAGAACTGTGTAATTGCCGAGCTCTCGGTAACTGGGTACCTCCGTCATGACAAGCAGATTCAGTTAATAATAATAATACTGGTAAGCACCTTGTTCCTGTCAGTTTGGCATTCTACAAACACACAGATATGAATGTGACCTTGTATTGTTCTACAAGTGCTAAATCCTCCAGTGCATGTAATCATGACTTTTGTTTTTTAAATGTGTTTCTTTTCAAGTTAACGGCACTGAACAGTGCTTTCTACAGCTTGTAAAATTCAATGGAGGCTGGAGACAAGAACCTCTGGAATTCTGTTGATTTCACATTCTGTTAACATTTGGGGTATTTCAAAATGCTGCTATTTGATACACATATATGTAGCTCACTTTTTTCAGTTTCACCGTGCTTGATGCCTGTATGCACACTTACACTATGTATTCACACTCACATGCATGATTTACACTGTATGCTATGTACATGTCTTCACACTTCCTGATAATATACAATGTTGTAATTATTGATTGTATTGACTGGTCTTTCATACATGCAGCAGACAATGATTCTTAATTAATGCGAGGAATTAATTTCTGCATTTCAAAATTCCTATTAATTGGTTTAATTCTTCATGGTGACGTTTTGAAAGGAAAAAAGGCCATTTGCTTCATTTTCAATCAACAGTGACAGGTTACGACCAAACGGTACTTGTACCTGCTATGAGTACATGTATGTAATCAATTTACAAGGATGTTTGCTTTCTATTTTATTGTGCATTCCATCCAAGTTAACCGATGTTCTGTCCGGGGTGATCAAATTAACCTATGTTCTGTCCGGGGTGATCAAGTTAACTGATGTTCTGTCCGGGGTGATCAAGTTAAACGGTGTTCTGTCCCGGTAGATGTTGGTGAGCATTTGGCACTGACTAGATGAAACAGACTTGGTTCATTTTTAATTACAAAAATCAAAACATTTGAGATACATGTAAATAAACTGCATACAAATCTTTTACTTTGTTTACACTGTAAAATTCCCTTCATGTTGGAAAAAAAAATTGCTTATTGTAATCTACATGTGATATGGTCAATTGCAACCTTCCTGATTTGGTATACACGACCTATTTTGCCTCCACTGCTGAAATTTTCCAACTGTGGTTTCTAAACTACAAACAGGGGTATAGCGATCGGGGAGGGGGTATGTGAGGGTGCAGTGCCCCCCCCCCCAATAATTAATCCAGTCGGCAAATAGAACTTCGGTCGGCACATGAATCCAGGAGTAGTATGTAAATGATATATATTGGCTGTCGGCATTTCCTCTAAAGCATGACATGTAGCGTACCACAGAGCACTCTGTGAATTTTACACGCCACAAGGCTGGCGAACAAGTTTGAAGTTGGCATCTTGTCTCTGACACACCCACCCCACAGAAAATGCCTTCGCTACGCCACTGGCTACAAATTCCAACCCACTACATTTTTTGACTCAGCATCGCCCAGCTATCCAACTGGATTTAAGCTGCATTTCCAATATTATGTGGCCAACAGGGAACTTGAACATTATCCGAGTTAATTCTCAGCGGAGAGATAAATTGGTGACCCTAAGTTCTGTCATGTACATGCAGACCTGTGTAAAGACGCTCCTTCAATGGCTTCTTTGTTCACTGAGTTTACGTGTTTGGAACTCTCAACAAATTCTATAATAGAACGTGAACTCTCATCTGATCATAAATGCAGCTAGGGTTATGGCTCATTTCAAAGTGATGAATGCAACAATACATTAGGTCCTCAAGTTTGGCTAATTTTGGAAAGGACTTCTGATAAGGGCTTCTCATATATCAAAGCCAGACAGAGGTTACTGGATATTTATGAAACAGGGCATGACGTGTTAACAAATGAGTTTATATTACAAGATATCATTTAGCCTTCCCTGAAATAATTCATTCAGGACTCACTGGTCCAGTCCACTTGCCTAAGATGAACCCCATTGTCGGCAAAATTTACGTTCACTTTGCAGGATAATCTTACTGGGAATAAGACCTGGATAACAGTTTATTAAAATATATACAAGTGCACCATGTTTACAGTGTGAGATTTTGTTCAAAGGCCAACAAGTTTGGCATGACAGTGGTTCTAACGACTTATTCCTCCTTTTGTTGGGTGGGGTCTTCATTGCGTGTTTGCTTATTGATGGCATGGCCAACTGAGACCTACCGCATAGTGTGCCAAAATCCATGTTTGTTTGTGAAACCTGCAAATCTCTGCCATTTTCGCCCATAAACTACCCATGTATTCTGCAAATTCAGTTCTCGTTTGAAGTTAATTCAACACATCAAGCCTACCTCCGAGTCGTCTTCCGCCTTTGCCGTATCAGCTTGCATCAAGGCTAGTGCTGCGTCCAATGAAGTCTGTTCTCTCACTGACTCTAAAAATCAAAAGGAAAGCAGCATGTATTGTAAATAAACAAGCATACAGATGTATTATTTCCCAGCTGAAACAGTACCATAACCTGCCCTCCTACTTCCAAATCTTCCCAAACCTTCAAGTTTCAAAGAACGAGGAGAATTAATCCCTGCATGATGCAACAGGACTGCTTAGCTTGGGAATTTGGTAAGCGCATAATTTTTTTCACTGAGCAAGAACAGCTGTCCAGCAACAACTCACAGTAGGCATACTGCTTTAAGACTGGAACTCTGCTGAGTTTTTTTCTAAGGACTTAAATCTGCTACGCAAGATTTTCTGCTAATGTCCAAATTTTCACCCAAGGTGTGATGGCCAAATTTTGTGCATAAAGGTGTCATCTGCTTACATGTTGGAATTTGGAGTTTCTGGTAGGTTCGTACACTTGATTATTTTTTGGATCAATTAAATGTTCCCTTTTTGATTACAGGCTTGATAAATTTGACAGCAGCTTTCTAATGTGCTTATTTCCAAGCTTATTTCCAAGGTTTAATCAACAATAATAAAATAGTACCCAGTCTGTCTTAAGGCTTTTTTTTTTCAATCATTACAAGCCTTGTCATTCAACTGTAATTTTCAGTGACAATCTTTCCTTGTTTTCACTTCATATTCTTTGCTTTAGAACACAGAACTTGAGATGTTTGGTTCAAAAAGTTTTGGGCCATTCTGCCTTCGGAAGGGAATACTTTTAAACAATTTACAAATAATCGAAAAGCAGAATGTTACCACAGAACGGATTCACATTTATCAATCCATTAATCAACAGACTAATACTTCCAAGCCTAGTTTCTGGCAAAAAAATAAATTCCAAACCAAATTCTCACCGAGCTTGGCTTTCCCCATGATGTAGGAGTCTCTGATTTTCTGCGCCTCGTGGAGGCGTTCGATGAGCTGTGCCCGGCCCTCGTTCAGGCGGGGCTCCCTTGAGAGGTTGAATTCGGCCAGGCTGCGGTTCTCCGCCATCGCCATCTCCTTTTCCAACTTCTTCTGTTTCACCTGGAAAAAAAACCCTCAGAGGTCTCGTAAATGTGGCAAAACCATGAATCTAAATAGACTGTATTCATGTGTCGGCCATCTTGAATTGAAAGTGAGGCTAACTTTTCATTCTGGGAACCTGAAAGCAATGAAAATAAACGTTCATTTCAAGTTTATGCCAGTTTACGTTTAAAATAATAGTCTGGCACCATCTCATTTAACAGACTGCACTGAATGTGACAGACTCAGGGCACAAAAATTGAAAATGACTTCCCCGGGAATGAGGTCTATTCACTTTTTTAGTTTATTTCCAACAGTCAATAAGCGTACATGTTGTATGTAGGATACAGCAAATGATTGAGGTATACTGTTTCTATTCGCTCATAGCAGGAACAAGAGAGGGTGTATTTTTACTTGGAAACTGGAAACGACAGTCCTTTGGTGGGCTCTTGCTATATGAGTGTGCAGATTTATGCAAGTCTGGCATGGGAATGCCGAATTCGCACAACCAAGTATGTACAGTTTGAGCTTGTGGTCTAGTGGTTAGGGTTAGTAGCTTCTGATCACAGGGTTAGGGTTCCAATCCAGCTGGTGGCAGCATGTTGTGATCTTGGTCAAGTCACCCAGGAGTGAATGGGTACCTCAGAGGGCAGACACGGTTATGTTTAGCCGTTTGCGCCTTGTTTGCAATGGCAGCATGGGACTAGCATACTCCCCTAGGAGTGAAGATGGTTTCAGGAATGCTTAGATGAGGTGAGCCCAACGTGCAGGGATGATAATAGTGCATTACATTCCATGATATGTGCTTCATAAGAACTACACCAGGAGTGTCACAGTGTAACAGACATGGTGCATTACAACATACAAGTATCTGTCACTATGTGTGCCGAAAGCATGCACGAGCTGAGTTGAGTGACTAACGACAAAACCCAGTGTTAACATCCTCGATGCAATGCACTACTAATATCGTTCAAGCCAAAAGTAATTCAGACACGGTCCACGTCCTGTACCTCTTCCATGTTCGTGACCACCTCACTGAATTTCTCCTCGTCTTCCAGGAGAGCGCTCAGTTCCTCGCTATCCATGCTGTACAGCAGCACAAACCGCGGGTCCCCAATCTCCTGGCTACCCGGGCTGCGGTCTGGTTCTGACCTCTGCAGCAGGGGCATGCTGACGGGCACGTTGTCTACGGGTGTGTGCTGAGGGTAGCGGGGCGGCTCCGGCTGGGACGGGGATGGAGTGGGGAAGCTTGGGGGCTGAGGGTATTGCAGTTGGGGTTGGGGAAAGTGCGCGGTCGGCTGTGGCGTGTAGGAACTGTACTGCGGAGGCTGTGCGGGCGGCTGGTGACTACCTATCTGGTATGGGTAGTTATGGCTGCTGTAACTACTCATTCTACAAGTAGTACAGGCAGACTACCAGTGACACTGCCAACTTTTGTACAACTTCCTGTGAATGAGACACAATATGTATAAATCAGTTAAGCCCTTAAAATCTAAAAGAGAAATTAACGGAAGGTAAAGCTGCTTGCTGGCTGTCAAGTGTGACCCATTGGTTATACGCAAGTCAGGTACATGTATACATGATCTTCATTTCTTAATGTCTTTCACTAGTTGGCCTCCTGTGACATACAGCAGTATAAATTTTTGAAGATTCTGAAGGTTTCAGTGCAGCTAAAATCACACAAGTTGGATCCATTCAAACCATCCACGCCATAATTTGCTTTACAAATTTTTGTTGCACATTTGGAAAGAGTTCAATATTATACAGATAACACTAATTTTCCCTTCAAATGTTACAACAGCTGTTGGAAAGTTATAACATGTCCGAACAAGTGAAATGACCGATATTTTAAACAAAAAAACATAGATTCATTAAGAAAATGTGTTAAATGTTAATCATTACGTGCAAATCAGTTGCACATGATTCTTCAAGCAGTGTAGCTCTACTGAGTGGAGCGTTAATATTCCTCTTTTTCAAATTTTGTGCTGAATGGGAAATTTCGAAAAAGAGGAACTTATTGCTAGCCATGGCCATGCTAAATGCTCCACTCAGTTGAGCTAAATCTGAACTAGTCCGACTAACTTGGACCCTACAAATCACCTTTTTTAACATTTGGACATGGTCGGGCCCTAGTATCGGTCATAGGGCTAGAGGAACAGATGAAGTGTCACATTTAAGTGTGAGACACATTGACTTGGATAATGTTGAGACATTTCCCACCACTGCCCACAGACATTGGTCAACAATACTTGGGCCTGCCCAACTGCAGCACTACAGTTGGGACTGTCCTAGCCCAGGTTGGACGTCTACATTGAATTGCGATGCAATGTAGACGTCATCTAACCTGCGCTAGGACTGTCCCAACTATAGTTGGGACTTATGCTATGGTTGGGGCGTAACAGTTGTACTACATGTATTATAGTACTACTACAGAAGAAGAAAAGTCACGTTAGCTATTCTCATTTCAATGTTGATCAATTTAATGTGAAATAAAGTACCTACAAATTATTAATTTTCAACCAGCCAGTTGCCTACCAACGATCTGTATCCTCGAGTTCAGATTAATTCCACAGAGTCTGTCAAACATGTCAAAATCGACGACAAAATAACATTTTGCAATGCAATACAAACAAATCCAACGCGAAGTAAAAATAGAAATGACGAAAAGCTAGCACATTGATATAAAAGTGCGCCCTCTGTTGATTTTTTTCTACTAGCAACCAAACAATGTAGAATCCATGTACTACAGTATTACTCGCAGTCTGATACCCTCCTTATTTCACATAGCGAAAGGTTCAGCTTCTACACATTGTCGGGTGCAGTACCTGGACTGCTGGCTTATATCATGGAGGTAGAATCACACATGCAGCAAGCGTTGACCCGGCCGGAGGCCTGACGCATGGCACAAGACAAATACAGATATACACACGCGCAATCGACGGGCGCGGGACGAAACGTGAACGCTCGGTTGTCTGCATCTCGCATCATAAATCTTTTCCTACTGGGCAAATTCTGACAGCTTGTAAGACAATGGACAGGCAGAACCACGACAAAGCCAAAGTAATGTGGACGCCTGATCGGAAGAAGCAGACAAACATGGATGCATTTCGAGAAGACGTGAATCGAAATTACAAGTTGAACCTGGGTGAGTGGTGGGTCGTATCAGCATGTGGGTCATGGTTCGAACTTTTTTATTAGCAGAGAAAACGACTGTCTTCAATTTTCCTTGTTTGTTTTTCCCCAAAGCTTCATTTCAAACAGTTTCCAGACTTTTACTTTTAATTGTTCCTTAATTGAAATCATGAGCCCTTCCATAAAATTTCTCCTTCGGGTCTTTTTATAGCGCAGGGGGACGGGAAATCACGCCACCCATGGGGTGACTGATGATTTATTTATGTGGGTTGCTGAACCGTGGATTGGTAAGCCAATCAAAAGAAAGAACTGCGTGACACACCCACAAGTTTGCCTCTTTTAGTTTATTGACATTATAGACTTGTTCAAGTCGTCTGTGTATACAGTACTGTGTATCACTATAATCATCCTCTTTTCGCTAATTGCAGGTTTTATAGTTGAGAAAAGATGATATTTTCCCTTAATTTGAATGGTGGATAAGCACTTGTGAAGTCATGCAGGAAGTTTTGGATTTGTTTTGGAATGGAAAACATTTGTTGGAGCAAGTTTGCCTCTAGTTCCAAAAATAATGCATTTTTGTTGACTTTTGGAAAAGAAAAATTTTGACCTTTGATTTTGCTTAACTTCAAACTTGCCCTTGATAAGTTTCAAGTCAGAGTAAGTTGCCCATTATAATTTTTGTTGTTTGGATTGACAGTTTTGCATCTGGCTATAGGAATATAGTCAAGATATTCAGTCTTCAATTTGTTAAATTAAGTCTTTCACAGTGAAATGCATTTTGCAAATTCTAAGGTACATATAGGCACTGAGATGGTGTAAATGATATTGTATTGAATTAAACCATGTAATTAAATCATGTTGGTCAAAAAGTAAAACTAACTTGTTAATTTCATTCTCTATTTCTCCAGCTAACAATTACATGTAGTTGAATTATTGTGATAGAGTTGTGATTACTTATTTTTATCTTGTATATAAATGTGTGATTTTTTTTTTACTTTGGCTGTGGATTATTGTTTCGCAAGTTAGTTTCACAGACTGAAGCAGAGGAGTTTAGTGCATTTAATTTTTGTGTTTGGCATTGTACAAGTAGTTATACCTTTCATTTTGTTATCAAAGGAAACATTTACAAAAAATAATTTCGGATCTTTCTAAGTTAATGTTTATCAAAAAAAAAAATCTCTGCATCGGTGCGCCAAATGGCAGTCCATGCTGAAATGACCTAAAGATGACCCAGCCTAAGGAGTTACTCATCTATAAATTTATGCATTTATTCATCAGCACACGTATGTTTAAACCTAACCTTCCAAGTCTTCCATTAGTCAACCAGGTCGCCTGAACCATTTAGTGGATTGAGGCCGTGTGTGCTGCACGTTACTTCAGGATTGGGGAGGGGGTTAAAAGTGCACCAACGGCAAAAACTGACTGCCGAAAGGGTTTGGGGGACTTTCCTTTTGAGTACTAACAGTCCACAATTTTTCCTTTTTTAATATTTGTAACAAACCCAAGGGAGGTTCAAGTTAATACTTTGCTCGTTGTAAATTGCAGCAGAGGAGAATGAATTGTTTTCAGTACATAAATCCATTTTTTTTGTCCAAGAATGCTAAAAAAATTTGTAAATCTTACTTTTTTTAATTGTGTATGTTTCTATGCACTGATAAAAACTGAAGGCCGTAAACATTATCAACTTATTTTCTATTGTTAAAGAATGACTATAAGCACTGTACACCCCGGATAATTATAAATGAGGTCTCCATTTGATTCTGCATATTGCTTAAAAACCCAGAACACCCTGTACTGAAATGCAGCTGTCAATATGCAACCTACGAGTACAGTACTTAACATGTACATTGATTGGTGTTGAGTGTTGCGTTTGTGTATGTCACAAACGGGAAGCAGATGTGCATGGTTTTATTGATTTTTGCTCTCTCAAAATAATTTGGCTTTCATTTTCATTCCGCTTAATCGAGGAGATTCTAGTCCGTTCTAATTATGGAACATGTGAAGATCAATTAAAATTTTATTATTTTTGGAACAATTAATTTCAAGTAAAGCTTTCAATTGATAATACATTTTACATGTACATACATCTTGAATGAAATGCATAACAGAGGAGGTTGTAAAAAGTCCTTAAAACGGTGCAGAGGTAAAAGAATGTTTCTCTTGAGAGATTCAGTCCCTGCAGTCATACATTACATGATGTGCTCACACATGTACATGTATGCTGTTATTATTTGTAGCTTCTTACTGTGACAGTTAAGATGAGATTTCATACAAGCACACTGTTAGGGTTAAAGCGAATACATGTATTTGGCTTCATCATTTAAAATTTTGAAAAGATCCGATTTGTTACACGTATATTTGTTGTAAAAGAGGGCTTCCGCCCATAAATCTGCGTGCACTTGAGGAGCTGGTATGCATACTGTGCAATGAAGATACCAGCACTTTCTCAATGTACCATTCCGGAAATCTGGTGTGGGATCCCTACCATGTGAGAAAATCAATCCTTACGTGCTGATGGCCTTTTTTACATGTGCATCCCCCCCTCTGTGTACCTTGGGTAGTAATATTCTCTGCAAAAGAAATTTCAATAAATGCTTTCCAGAGAAGGTTGGCCAAGTCACAGCTTTACAGCCATAGGGCATTCAGCTTAAGGAACATATTAAGGCGAAACCCAAAAATAGCTGTGTGTTTGTATTTCAACAACCAGCTGCTTTACTACTCAATCAGGTCAAACGTCTTTCAATTAAAGTCTTTCAGAAATCGAGTCTTTCATGAACACGGTTCCAACTGGCAAATGAAAAAAAAAAATTGAAGTATTCAACTGACTGTTACTGAGGTATTTTGCCATATTTGTTTCATATAAATTTACCCAGTACAGTTACTATCAGAATTGTAAAAATGAAACAAACTGGCTGTGTTACGGGAGTGAGAAACTCACATTTATTTGACCATAGCATATTAACATGAGATGTAAATTTATACAGCTTTGCATTCTACAAATACTGGTCTCTTGTGCAGTGAAGTATTACACGACCTCACACAATACAAACTGTCTGGGGTGGGGGGGTTCAATTCCCAACTTAACGTGTGTTAAAAGCCCCCTAAGTCAGCCTCACTTTTTAGACAGGTTACATAAAGATCTCCTTTTTTTATTTCTTTTCTCTTTTTTAATGGGGGCTCCAAACGATCAGCTCCTGCTGGATGGGTTATCCTCAATAAAGATGGTTTAAATAAAAAAACAAATAAAACGAATCACAGTGCTGATATGTAATTTTGACGTGCACATGTGCAGTATTAATCTGACACTGACTTAGTACCTTTTACAAAGACCCCCCCCCCAAAAATACAGACCATCATCCGACCCTAATTTTTTGGGCTATAAAAATTTAGAGTAAAAAAATATATTACCCAACCAGCCACCCTAATTTGTTTGTCATTGTAATAGGAAACACAACTAATTTTTTGTTTGGCCTCATGACAATCACTTTGAATGTGCCGTGTGCCGTGACTGAAACCTCACAAACATTTTGAAAGATTTAGAAAGTGAAATACTCCAACATTCTCCTTGAGGCAGGAATCCAACACCATTCATATGGCATTCTTTGTTTTATTTTTAAAGCATTAGTCGACAAGTACCATGCAAAATACTCCTGATAGTGGCTTGAATTTTATGTTCCTTCTTCAGTTCAACAAAATCCTGAAAGGCTGAAAAATTATCAAGGATTTGAGAGTTATAGGATTATAAATTTGGATGTTTTTGATACCATTTGACACAAGAATGGCCAATTCAAGGTTCCATCTTCAAGGAATTAATTTACGATTTGAAAGATGGAGGTTCAATTCAATGGGGATTTTTCTTCAACATTTCAAAACAAGGGAGTCATTCCTCACAGAGTAGGGAGCAAAATCCACATTTGACCTTCTTTGCATTATGTATTTATTTAAAATATTTCATTGCCCTTTTGTCATTCTCAGAGACTTATGATGAATTGTGGAGGTGGTCAACTGAGAATTATGCCGATTTCTGGGAAGCTTGTTGGAAATTCGTTGACATCATCCATTCAAAAAGTTATGATAAGGTACAGATAAACGAAAGTTTAATTAAAGCTCATTAAAAAGAAAAACCCAGATTTATTTGGAAGAACTTTTACAAGGTTTTAACTTCTTTTTACGGAAAAAAAGCCAAATGTTATTGTTGGATGAGCAGCTTTACTGTGGAAGTTTAGAGCCAGTTCTGTGACACTCAAGCAAACATTCACATTGTTTATTCATAAAATTGATCATATATTGGAATTCCCCCGACCCTGCCATTTGATATAAAGGTTTTTTTTATTATTTCATTTTGGAATGTTCAGTAATGTTTAAATTCACTTCTAATCCCCATTTGGCATTTTCACCCAAAGTATAAAAATCCATTCACCTGAAAGAGAGATTTGAAATTTTGGAGTTGCGATCCCCTCAACATTTTGTGGCCTTTTGTTTCCACGTTCATTGTAACTGACATCGAGACTATTTGCTTTCTATTACATTGCTTTCAGGTGGTGGATAAAGACAAGATCATTTTGGACATCCCAGAGTGGTTTGCCGGGAGCAGGCTCAACTTTGCCGAGAATCTGCTTCGCCACACGGACGACAGAGTGGCCCTCTACGAAGCAGGTAAAAATAGTAATGACCTACATTGCTATCAGTATTCAGAACACAAAACAAACAAGTCAACACAAATAAAAACAAGAACAAAATAAAACAAAAACAAATGCATGTTGCACTTTAGGTATGTGTACTTTAAACTTATGAAACAAAAGAGAATTATTACATTGGGAAAGTTGAATGTAGATGCAGAACTTAACACCGCTTGCATCCTCATCATCAAGATAAGTTATAGTGAGAGATGCATGCACATAATTTGAGCTTGCTTGCATTAATATATGCTAGCATTTTGTATCAACACTTGAATGCACTGACCATTTTTGAATCAGAAATCTGGAAACCTCTCCACAGCTCTAGTTGTCCATTGCATGGATAACACAAAAAGCTTGTTTTAACAGTGGCTGTGATCAATACAATTATGCCTGACAGCACGCAATACCATGAGTGAGTGAAACAGTACAGTGGTGTAGTATTCACCACCCTGCATATTGACCAAAGTTTGGATGGGGAATACATGTACATGTGATTGTAAATGCATATAATGAAGTGCAACATAACAGTACATGTATGTAACTCACAGAATGCTAGTAGAAGTCACTTATCAGTTTTTCAGTGCTTTTTAACTGCGTATTGCTTTGTCTCGAAACAATTGTAAAAACTGGAAAGCTTGATTCCTTCTGTTTGTTGACAGACCTGCAAACAGGCTGAGGAGATCTGAAAATACATATACCGAGTGGGCATTAAATGTACATGTTCAGTGTATCACTAGCAGTAAACCAAAAAGCAAGGGACAAAAAATTATTGCTGAAAAGCATACTTGGGTTGAAGATGATCTGGGCATTGGGACTCAACTCCCTGTGAAATAGTTCTTTCTGGCAAGCTGTTATTTTGAAGAAGACAGTGAAAGAAAGCCACAAAGGTCCAAATGATGGACTGTACCTTTAAAGTTAGAGGGCTTAACTTGTTGGTCTTCCATGCATTACATTAATCTTTCTTAAAAGGCGGGACTTTGATATTGACACCGTATTTTAAAAAAAAGCATCAGACTCTAGGCTGTGCCCTGTCAATTTGGTGTCAGTCTTGTAAAATGTTGTAAAATTAAATACTTGACAAGTCCATAAGTCATGTACATGTAAGTATGGTCTTTTACTGCCGTTACATCAGTTTGCTGTTGGCAAATCACCACGGTTACGCAACGGTGATATCTTTTGTCCAGCATCACTGTTGCATGACATTTGTGCTATACACTTTGTACAGAACCCAGCAGTATACTTTCTGCTGGGGGGGACATTGGGAATGAAACGTGGCTGGATTTTTGTCTGCATATCGAAAACAGCTGAGCTGTTTTCTTGAAAAGTTTATTTCAGTTCAGTGGATTTTATGATCCACTTCACTGGTGATTAGTGATTTTTTTCTCAAAATTTGAACCATGGGATAAAAATGTCCTGCCATGTGACTTTTTTACATTGAACATTTATAATCTTTATACCTAATTATTAAAAAAATTCCTCGGACTTGATACAGAAGTTACAGTTTAGTCAGACTGGAAGACAAAAGGTAGTCTTTTAAAACTGAGTTGTTCAGCTTTCTGTTTGTTCATTGCAGCGGAAGGTAAAGACAGTGTTGAACGCATCACCTACAATCAACTCAAGGACCGAGTGGCTGTCTTGGCCTCAGCCATGCAGAACATGGGAATCAAGGCAGGCGACAGAGTGGTTGGTATGTATGTGTACATTTTGAGCCTATTCCAAATATCCCAGATGCAGCTTAGAACGGCTTTTTTCTCTTTTCTACTTAACCTCAGTCCATTGAGGTCGTGGCCTTGTGTGATTAAGGTTTGTGACTCGTAAGGAAAGTGTTCAAATCCAGCCACTGGCCATAGGATGTGGCCATGGGCAAGCCACTTCACACCCCCCCCTTCAAACGGGCACTAGTGTTGGCTTGGAAGCAACCCGTGATGGTCTGGCATCCCATGTCAGTGGAATAGAAGTATTCTCTGTCATTTCATACTGATAATTACAAGGTTACTTGAAACAGGCTAGCAATTGAGAGTTGTATCTAGAATTGATTCCGGTCCTTTAACGTGATTATAGTGTACTATATAGCCTTAAATTATATTCCTAGTGTAACCTTACAATTCGAGGATATCACATGGTCATCCATATTTTTAGAAATACCGACTTCATGGTGCACTGGTGGCATTTCAAAACTTGGCCACAGAGACAGACAAGGTACAAACTTGCATCAATGTACCGGTAACTTTCCCACAGAATTTTCCCCACAGGCTCTTAACACTCAAGTTGGGGATATAGCAAATCTGTAGCAAGTCAAGTAGAAAGACCAGAAGCACATTCCAGGAATTCACTTTTATAGTTCTACTTCCAGCAAGACTTCTGTGGTCCAAAGTTAAAACTTTGGCAGACCCTTACAAGAAAACCGATAGCAGCTCAGCAGATTCACCCAGACTGCACCTTTTGATATTTTACTCAAATCCTCCTTTTTTTTCACTTTGCAGGTTACATTCCTAATTGTGCCCTCGCCATAGAAGCGATGCTAGCTGCGGCCAGCATCGGCGCTGTCTGGAGCTCGACATCACCAGACTTTGGCGTCATGGTATTCAATATACCCTATCATTCTTGATATTACTGTAAAATTATACTGTTATTGATATGAAACTTTTCAAGATGAAATATTATTGCTAGATATTGTTCTAATTGAGTTCATAACGAGTTAAGTCAAGTCCTTTGGTAAGTCCGGTGAACAGGCTAAGTGGGGACAAAGGAATTTCTCAATCAAAGTTCATTTGAGTAGCTCATGAATTTGACTCAAAATTGGATGTCTTGTGATGAACTCATAAAGATGTCAACTACCAGTGTTGTCGTCGAGTCCATCACAAGTCCCGGCAAGTCCATCACAAATCAATCAGTCTTTACGTGCTATTCAAATGAACTGTGATAAAAGCATTCCTTTGTCATTGTCCACTCTGTTACTTAAGAGTGGCCACGTGAAAGGACTCGTGACCAGACTCAACTCCAACACTGTCAACTACATTGTACAACAGTGGTTTCATAGCCCCACCTCTTCCTCCATCTTTACCTCAGGGCGTCCTGGACCGCTTCAAGCAGATCCAGCCCAAGCTCATCTTCTCGGTGGAGGCGGTTATCTACAATGGCAGGACGCACCCCCACGACAAGAAACTCCAGCAGGTGGTCATGGGACTGCCGGAGCTGGAGAAGGTGGTGGTCATTCCCTACGTGAAGCAAGAGTCCGAAATCGACATCTCCAACATTCCAAACAGGTAATAATGACGAGGTCCTGTTTGAACAAGCCAAGATCATTCATTTGTTCCACATTTTGCGCGTGCACCTCTAAACCTACCCGGGTATGATGACACTATGGGTAAGCACGATTGACGTTATCAAACATGTTGATGTTGACCACATTTCCTTTCCTCAACGCGCAGCATATTCCTCTCAGAGTTCCTGGCATCAGGCCAATCAGCTGATGGCATCACACCCCCTCTGGAATTCGAACAGCTGCCCTTCAATCACCCCCTGTACATCATGTATTCATCCGGAACGACTGGTGCGCCAAAGTGTATGGTCCACTCTGCTGGGGTAAAAAAATAATAAACAATTCTTAATATACTGATGAATACTTAACAATATAAAATGATAACTGGAATTAAACACAAGTGCTTTCATACTTTCAAATAAGTTAGTTTTGACAATATTATATAAACAATGCTCCTGAGTCTGCCATATCAAGCAAAAATCAAAATAACTCGGTCTTATTTTACTGTTGTCAGGGAACACTCATACAGCATCTAAAAGAGCACATTCTCCATGGCAACATGACAAGAAAGGACAACATCATTTACTACACCACTGTAAGTAGAGGTTTAGTTGTACTTGTAAAAATATGCTTGTTTTTTTAAGAGGTGGTTTTTTGTTTTAAAACTGAAATTTTAATTCATTTTAAGTAAAAGTAACACTCTTATGCTAATTCTCATGTGAAGCTGTTATAATAGTCCATTCCAGTTTGAAGTTGATTATTAGGGACAGGAATATATTATTGTATGGAAATGGTTTTCAATACAACTTTTCATTGGATCACCAGATTTTTTCTTCCTTCCTTGTTGCCTTTACCTTCTGGGATGGGGAGGGTGTCTGGTGTCTTTCAGGTGATGGCATTTAAAAAAAAATGTATGGCTTTTATTTTGGCCACCGACTTTTGACCTCCGACCTCCATTGTCTCTTTCACAACAGACAGGTTGGATGATGTGGAATTGGTTAGTGTCTGCCCTGGCCGTGGGTAGCGGAGTGGTGCTGTACGACGGCTCACCTCTGGTGCCGTCTGCCAATGTGCTCTGGGATCTGGTCGACCAGTTGGAGTGAGTTACCTTCTAGTGTTAATTTCTTGAACTTAGCAGACGTGCACTGATTATTACAAAAGGTTAACTATATATTCTCTCTCAAGCCTTCAACCCCCCCTCCCCATTCAGGGGTCAGTTTTCAGAGAGATCCTTAATACCAAATTTCTAACCAAAAAAGGGTTTTTTTCCTTATATCCATGAAAATTACAAGGGAGCTGTGTTATTTTTAAAACTGTTTAATACACGATTCAAGGCTGTCTACAACTTGAGTTATGCTCTTGGGCTTAAAGAGTTTAAAGACTACTCAAAATTGACGGACCAACACATTGAAAATTCAAGTTGATAAGAAAAACTCAAAATTGTCAAAAAACTGAGGGACTATTGTGGCATTATCTCCAGAAGCAGTTTGGCGACATCCGACGGGTTTTCCAACATTTCATCATTCTCACCAACTGTGCATAAGTCATGAGAGAGCCTGGTGGAAACAAGACATGGCCATGTCCAAATCAACCGGTTATGGCTAAAATTTACACAGGTGTCTATGGGAAGTGGTCTAGCCAGTGGCTAGCAAGTAGACATACACATGTTATTAAAGCCACCACCATAGCATTCAGACACACTTCATTGAATGAAGTTTGGTGTAGATCATTCTTGTGGTCACACATCAAAACATGTACTTGATTTTAATTGTTTTTTTTTGGTTCACTGATTTTAATTTTCAGAATCAGCATTCTCGGGACTGGTGCCAAGTGGCTGTCGGTGTTGAATGAGAAGGATGTCCACCCAGGTCAGATTTAAGGCCGGTTCGCTCTTCACGTGAAAGCGCAGCGACTTTGAACACCACCAGACATTTGCAGCAAGATTCTCCTGAGTTGAAATATGCTGAATTTTTGCAAATTCGCAGTGCAAACATTTGAAAGGACGTCACAGTTTCACATTGGTCTATGCTTTCACAGCTAGCATGAACCGGCCTTTAGTATAATAGCCACTCCGCCTCAATTCACAATATATGACTTTCATCAGTTAAAGGTTAAGTTTAGGTAGAGATTCCCTTGGTAATTGAAAGTTGCAGCATTTTTCTCCTAACACTGAGCACCGGGGGGGGGGGTATACAAGTAGACTGAAATGTGTATTAAGCAGGAGTGACTTACAATGCAGTCCCATGCCACTGGATTGGCATCTGAAGGTTTCTTTTTATTGTATAGTTTTTGTCTTGTGTCATAATCCCTCCTCAGCCAGTACACACAGGCTGACCTCCCTCCACACCATCCTTTCCACTGGCTCGCCACTGACTCCAAGCTTGTATGACTACGTCTACTCCAAGATCAAGGGGGACGTCTTGCTGGGATCAATCACAGGTATGGTGGTAAGCTAGGGACGAGCCTGTTCTAGGCAATCGCTCATGGGATGACATAATTGCAGACCAGAAAAAGCTGGAGAAAAGGGTGGAAAGAGACACGCCATCTGCTCTTGAAAGAAGTGGTAACAACATATCTTGCACCTGCACCCAAATATAGAAGGAAAACCTCTGTACTTGGAACTGTAGTCAGATGTCACTATGGCAACCCATTGTCCTGGCTCCCTGTAGTACATTTTAATATGTGCAACTATTGATAACCAGTGATGTGATTATATTAATAATAATCTTTGATTATTCCTTGTTCCATCAGAGTCGGTTCAATTTAATGTGAATAACAGCAGTTCTTGACAAATGTGCTTAAAACTTACTGATATTTGCTGATTTTGCCAAATCATTGAACACTGCCATAGTTGAACATCACATGCCACATTTGTGCTTTCAAGTGTTCTTGCTTTTTGATATTAGAAGCCTTATTGCCTTGACGTCAAGACGTCAGTGAATTCTTTCTTTTCTGTTCCTCTCCCAGGTGGCACCGACATTGTCTCCTGCTTTGCCGGTCAGAACCCCACCCTGCCAGTGTACAGAGGGGAGCTGCAGAGCCGCAACCTGGGCATGGCCATTGAGTGCTGGAATGACAAAGGTTGGGCAAAGTTAGAATTTAGTCTTGGAAAGTCAGGGAAAGTCATGAATTTGGTTTTCAGATGTCCATGGGAACCCCAATGAAAGACCAAAGAAAATTCAAACTTGTTGTTTTGGACTATCAAAGAAATATCAAGTTTTGTCTTGTGTCTAATTCAGGCAAAGCAGTTTACAACGAAAGTGGGGAGCTGGTCTGTCTCCAACCGTTTCCCTGCATGCCAACGCACTTCTGGAATGACCAAGATGGGGTCAAGTACAAGAAGGCGTACTTCTGTAAATACCCAGGTGAGAAAGTCTTAACATAGACACATTTTGTGAGCATGTGAGAAGTTGGCTGTGCGGGCATGCCATTTCCATCTGAAATGTTTACTTTCATGCACAGATTTGTATGGAAAATTATGACTGAGGTGGTGTTGTGAGCCCTGGGCCCTGTTTTAAGTCTTGCTTTAATCAAGGAATTTGGCATTTATTATCACCATTCTCAGCTCGCACACTTCTTCATTAGCACAGACAATCTTCACCAATTTTCTACAATCTTCAAGTCAGACATCACTCTCCTCCCATAAAATATGTTGTTTTCCCCTAAAATTTAGAGGGAAGAATTTCCACTTAAACTTTGCAAAAAAACTCACAAAAACTGGGCCCTGATCAGTTTTATTTTCAGTGAAATCAGATTGCTGATCTTGATAAAATGTAGTTTATTTATGTAAACTGCAGAGAGATTTTTTTGTACATTTCTGTTGGATTTTTTAAATGCAGGTGTGTGGGCACACGGTGATTTCTGCTTGATCAATCAGGAGACAGGCGGCATCGTAATGCAAGGGAGAAGGTAGGAAACCCCTCTTTTTTCCAACCCTCCAATCAGTCCAACTCAGGAGAAGATGTAGCCTTTTGCAAACCGAAAGTCACTGATGCTAGCCTTAGCACTGGAAAGCATTTGCAGTACATTCTGCAACTTTGTCTAAGGAGGGGCAGGGGTGGTGGATCTCTTCCTAAGCCTTTCCAGTGAAAGAAGCGGACGTACTGGGGAAAAAGAGATGTTGGAGGCACACAGGGCTGGTATCTCTCTGTTGCGCCTGGTAAAGTTGGGAGTGTCTTGAGTCCTAAAATGGACCAACCAGCACAGACTAATGACGGATGTGCAGGCGGTGAAGATAGAAGGTCACACAACACATAGCCTGTGAGACTTTATGCATATTAGACCTTGTAGATGGTGTCAGTGCACAACCTGAGTATTACAAGGGTGATACAAAAACCCTGCTAAACAATACCAGTACCAACTGTAGTAACAAATATAATAATTAATTCATAGCTGTGCAATATTTTCCTGACATTTGGATAATTGATTCCTGGGTCTTTGTTCTAACCTTTTTGTTCCCTGTACAGCGATGGGACCTTGAATCCAAATGGAGTCAGGTTTGGAAGTGCAGACATCTACAAACTGGGTAAGAAAACTACCCTTGGGTCATTTTCATTTGTCATTGAGTCATCGATGAAGACAGTGTTTGCCTCTTTAGACTTTGCTAGGTTTTTTCCATGTTAACCTCTTATCTAGTACACATGATTTGAGTTTATAATGGATTGAGATACCACATGAATTTAATGTACCAAATTTTTACAAAAAGCTTGATGTTGAGAGGAAGCACTCACTCGATGAAAAGAAAAAAAATTTAAAAATTCCAGAATTGATTTAAACGAGGGGGAAATAGGGTAAATAACATTCTCAATGTGAAACAAGAGACGGATGAGGAATTGTTAAGCAGTAGATTGAAGCTAGCAGTCAACCAGTCTCAAGGGGTGTACAATGCATGGAGATTGGCTGGTAGTGCCGCTTTAGCTGATGAGCAATGTTTCTGCATGAAGAGCCTTGTGCTTTGCAATAGCCCTATGTACTGATGACATACCACAGTTTTTACTGCAGTGCATTGTTTGGCTAGAATGTGGGTCATCAATTTATACACTGCTATCATAAGTGAGCACGATTATCTCTTTCTATAAGGTATTTTTCGAATCTTTCAAGGAAATTATCCTCTGCCACTGGAAACAGTAAGATTGCGACTTTCACTTTCTTGTCATCAAATGTGACTTGACATGCGCTATTTCTCCTACTTGTAGCATACGAGGATTTCTTTCTGTCCCACCATGCACTGCTGTAAACATTGATTTGACATTAGTACGTATAGGGCTATTCTTGGGTTAGAACACAACTACTACTGTCAGATTTGTGACTTGAAAAATTTCTGCCGACCAGTGGAGGACTTCAAGGAGATCCAGGACAGCCTGTGCGTCCCCCAGCGCAGCACCAACAACGAGGAGCGCGTGGTCCTGTTTCTCAAAATGGCAGACGGGCGCGACTTCAGCCCGGAGCTGGTTCAGCGGGTCAAGGTGGCCATCAGGTCGGGCTTGTCAGCCAGGCACATCCCAGAAGTCATTCTCGAGACCAAGGACATTCCAGTAGGTTTTTTTTTAATCGGAAATGGAAAGGGAGTTATCAGCCTTCAGTGACCAAGTTGGCAGTTTTGACAAAAGACTGAATTATGGGCCTGTTTGTTTCCCGTGGATCTGGATCTTAATCAGTGATTTGCTATTGGTAAAACTCACCTATGGAAGGAGATCTAGTCAAAGCAGGTCCATAGTAATTGTCTGGAGAAGGATTTGAACCTGTGACCCCTCAAAAACTGCACCAGGACTCTGCTAAGTCCGTATCCAAATGACATGGCAGACTATACCCCCTGTGTCTACGAAAAGCTTTCTGCAGCCGTTAGCCCTTGACTTCCAGGTGCACATGCTAATCCAGTCCACAAAGAAGAATTTCATACAAACCTTAACTTGGCCACCCAGTCCTTGGTTGAAATTGACCTAATTGCAGTAGAATCAAGTCAGTGCAGCTTGTGAAATATTGTCCAAGTACCTAATGTACAAAATGGATGTGGGATGCACAGAAGCTAAGACAAACAAAACTTGGCTTGAAAATTCTGCAGGGTTGTCTAAGGGGCATGGCTCACTTGCAAACGGTGATAGTCAATTCTCCTCAATGACGACTGCTTGCTCAAGTACCACTGATCAGAAATTGCTTGATTTTTTTTTAACAGTACACCATCAACGGTAAGAAGGTTGAGGTGGCTGTGAGGAGGATTATCTCCGGAGAGAACGTCCAGCAACGCGGAGCTCTCGCTAATCCCAACTCCTTGGACCTCTACTCCAACATCCCACAGTTACAAGGTTACTGAAATGGCACTGTGTGTGATTTACTAATGACCAGTGTCGTGGTCAGGTCTGTCACAAGTCCATTCACAAGCCCATTTGCAGGTAGCAGGTTTGAGGAATGACACGAGAATGCTGTTGTCACAGTTCAGTCGGATAAATTCTCTTGATTTGAGGCTGACTGATTTGTGATTGAAGATCAGGGACATTTGAGGACTTGCGACAGACTTGACCACTGCACTGTGAAAGGCAGAGACAGAAGAGGAGAGCAAAGGGACAAAAATGTGTTGCTCTCAGTTGGAGAAACCAACTGTGTGTCAGTCTACAATTCAGGTCGTTGTTGTGGTCAAAGTTACAAAATAATTTCATATCTGCAGAATACAGGTGATTCACAATGCAGCGTGCCACCAAGAGGTTGCCATGGAGAGGCCATTTTTGCTGTGCATTGTTTGGAAACAGTGAACAAAGTTCTTCAGATGTTCCCAATGTTTGTTTTTCTGGGTTGAGGATTCATACATGTTTGAGTATTGGTATTTATTAATCAAGATGGTGGTTTCCGTGAGGCAAGGAATGCCCTGATTAAGCAAAAATTTCCTCATGTTCTCTACTGACATTCACTCAATGCAAATCACAGCAAGCCAGCAGTGTTTTATGTTGACCATAAACTTGAAAAATGGCCTCTCCATGGCAACCTCTTGGTGGGCTGCTGTATTTGGAATAATCCATATAAAGCATTGCATGATGTCCACTGGCATAAAGAGTGCTGTTATGTAATCTAGAAGATGTACTAGTTCCCAGGAGCATTGCTAATGGGAATATGTAGGTGTGTGACACTCCTTACTCATTTTGTTTTCTCCTCAAATTGTCTTAGTTCTCATTTCCTTACACTGTCAGGTTCCTTGTGCCAGCACTGCAAAAAAACACAGTGTTGAATTAACACTGTCTCTTGTGTAGCACTTAGAAAAAGGGCATACGTTTGCACCTGTCATTTTGAGCTTAGATCAAACAAACGGTGGAAAGGTTTCTTCCATACTTCCAAGAGACGCAGAAATGTCATTGTCCTATATATTTCTTTTGAAGGGCACAATCCGGAAACAAGTTGTCCATGCTCAAATAAGTTCACTCTCAAAGCTTTATCATATGGTTTTATTGTCTGCCTGGTTGTGGATATCATGGTATCAGAAAGCTGATTGAAGTGAGCTTTTTAATCAGATTTTCTTTACTTGTATTTTCAATTGAAATAATGAAATTGGCGTTGTTGGGGAGATTTTTAACTAATGAACAGCGCTGCTGGTAGTATGCATTGGATAAATATTGTTAATAGATATTTCACCAACTGTGAAGACAAACTAAACTAATTTTGCCTAGAAATTCCAAAAAGTCAATTTAGTACCTCTATTTTTGGTTGATATATACTGCAACACTTTGGCCATATTTTTTGGCTGCTTCATTATGGAGTTGACCTCAGGAAGTGGACTGTATTTAATAGTTTTCAAAATGTTTCCTTGTTCTATGTTGCTTGGCTGCTCATGAGCCTTGATATGAGGTAAGTTTGGAATCGACTACCATTCTCATTCACATAGTCAAAAATCTCTACATACCTGCATGCATCTTCAACCAGACATGTTGTCCATAACATCCAATTCTCATGTCATAAAATGTTTGGTTTTGTGAAAGGTATGGTGTAATGTCATTTAGCACAAGAAATATATCCACTAAAAAATTGCATTCATCTATTAGGAGCTGAGTGTGGGCAGATTGTTTACATTTCACAGGTACATATACAACAGCTACATTTGTTATGTCAAGATTTGAAATCCCATCTCTAGCTCATGATAGTTATAGAAACGCTTTCACCAATCCTCACATTCTCCCCAATCTTTATTCTGTAACACCCTCAGTTGAGCTTTTTAACTATTATTTCAACACCCCATAGTATCCAATTTCTGTCAACCGCCTTTCCTTCCATTTGCACAAGAAACTTTGAGAGACAAAAATGGCCAGCTAACAGTTCAGCCCACCACCATGTATAGATCCATCATCTTTAAATTACTCCAGTCAAACAATAATCAACATAATCAACTAAACAATTGAAGTTAAAGTCAGGCTATCCATGCGTCATCTACCATACTACTTGTGTGTACTTGCTTCATGTTGGTGGTGGGGATCATCACTTGAAACAACACCTGTCACCTCGAAATCAGATTACTCTGCTGTTCTCAACTGGCATGTTTTACATTTGATCTCTCTTTCCAAGTCAGACTGTTGGTTTTCAAGTGTAGTTTTTGTGTGAGTTTAGCTCCTCAGAATGTATGATGGGACAAAATCAAGTTCACATTTTAGCTCCTCAGAAGTTTTACTTGATGGAGTTTTTGTATTGAATTATAAAAATTGGTTTATCACCCAGCCCTGGAAAATTACAGCGCTACTAAGCTTTGGAATTTGTTCATCACAAAAATTCTTACAGAAAAATAGAAAGAGAAATAGAAACAGAGGTCATCATTTATTTTACTTTTGTCACGTACGTGCAGCTCTTTTTGGTTGGTCCCGAGCAGAGGAATTCTCTTGTACTGCAACATGAGCCATTGGAAATTGTGTGCATATTACGTACACAATTTGTGTTGTGATATGTTGTTGATACAAAAATTGGATCTCTTAAGACCATCACAAGATAGAGTGATAGACCAACACAAGACCTCCAGTCTGAAATCAAGTCACAAGCTATTCAAATGAACTGTAACAAAAGTATTCCTTTGCCATTGTTCACCCTGTCACATGTGCCTGGTCTCATGACTGGTCTTGTGACTGGTCTTGTGATAGTCTCAACTACAACACTGCAAAGCAGTGTGGAGTAAAAGAAGGCATTATTTTTGTAATAATATCCAACCATTGTAATCATCCATCCAAGAAAGCCAGGTTCTGATGGAATCCTTTTTTTCCCCACTAAATCTGTTCTGTTCTTTTTCTTTTCTTGTCCAAGGTTATGAGGGATCTCGCTCTCTCAAGGAGTTCCAAGTCGTGGGATCCCCAACCAGATCAAAGGCGCAGCATGAGCCACCAAGCCCCAATTCAGGATCACCGTCCAAGAGACATCAGGTTGGAAGCCCGACTGAGAAGGGTGACCAAAGCTAGAGGCAGAGGGATTAGTTGACATTGGCAGCTCTGATAAAGGCCAGATATTGTGGTTGAAAGCAAATGGCCGATCTGTCACAAATTTTGTTGTGTCTTGGCACAGACAGGTGCGAATTGGCAAAAAGTTTGATTAGCTCTGTCACATGGGAATTTTGCAGTAAATGCAAACTTGCTTCATGTATAAGACTTGTGTCAAAATTTATGTGTTCTAAGCCATTGGTCTGAAGACTGTTCTGGCAGCTATTGTGACATTAATTTTATGTCAAACAACAGGTTTAAACCCTTTATTGATCCACATACTTGAAAGTTTTAATTTTATTGTTCAGTAATTTCTCACCCTTAGACTGATTTTTCTAAAGTTTGTCAAATCATCCAATGCTGCACAAGCATTGGTAAAGTGGGGAAACTTTGCAAAATAACAGGGAATCTACTTGTCTTAAATCAGATAACTTCTCTGCCTCTGTGTGCCATTTGCAACCTTTTTTGAACAAATCGCACCAAGGGTGCCAATGGATAACATTAGTTTGAGCATTGTAGAAATGAAACAGGATTGCCGCTAACCGTCCTTGTCAATGTGCCTTTTGGAGAAACTACAGTACTTTGTGTACTGTAAGCCACTGTTACACATTTTGCCTCACAAATGACATCACGGGTTATTATTATTACTCACATTAACCCACCAATTTGCATAGTTATCATCAGTTACTATAGTATTGTCAGTCATCAATCAATAAGTGATTGGCTTTCAAGGCTTTTTGATTACAATTGTGCAGTGATAAGTGCAATATCATCATTTTCTTTTGAAAGCTCCATCAGACTGTGAATCTCAGAATAAAATCCTTAAGTTTTGAAATTAGACTTATTAATTACGGGTGACTGTTTCCATTCATCCTTGGCCCCAAGTATTCGCTTGTGAACCTTTCAGAGAATATTCCCCATTTTCAGTATATAGCAGTATTTGTTAACTTCCTCTAACTGTAGGTAGTCCTTTAAGGCTATACCTTTTAAGGTCAGAGGTCAAGATCAGAGGACATTGATGAGATTGCAGAGAAAACAAGAACGCTTTACAAAGGTTGAAGCCAGTTAGAATGTTTCCATGAAGTTCTAGCCGAGTTCACTTACTGTCTCAGAAAGATCTGAACTTAGTTCCTGATGATATGATAGTTCCTCTATATTTTCTCTGCCATATCCAGAATCCTTGGAATTCTGTTTATTATTGGTATCAGTTCGGCAGTGCATGTGTATTGCGTGTTATTTGTTCTCACTTCATTTAATCAAGATTTTTCCACAAAGCCATTTAATTTTTCAAAGAAAACGGTTGGTTTAAGCTGCATTAAAATAATGTAGACATATCCATATTCTATGATATTTTTGTTGGAGTTATGGAGTAATATGTAACTACGGTTTACAACAGACTTTTCCATCAGTAAGAAATAGTGTTGACATTTGGAAGAGAGCATATCAGTTTTGTCCGAAGGTATATTAAAACCTCGTCTTGGTGACCGTGACTTTTTTAATGAATCGAAGTTTCCCCCTACATACGAGTCATTTCTTCAGTGTGAAGGTATCAGAATTTAACGGAACTTGACATGCATTGTGTGTATTCAACTAAATCAGCCAGCATAAGAGTCAAATTCAAGCGAACGTTATCGTCTGAGTCGTTTAAAATTTTCGTTCATTCAGCCCGCGCGGGGTGTATGCTGTGGACCACTTTGATTGACTAAACACTACCGTTGAGGGCGCTATACTTCTTTGCTAGGCAAAATTCCCGAAACGGCTTTCAGGGGCTACGTCAGTCGTCAATTTTGACTGACGTGCGCAACCGGCGTATCCGCTCCGTGTACGTGTGTGAACAAGTTCACGACGTGGCGGCCTCATTTTCATCAAAGAATACTGCGAAGTGTATGAATTCAGGAAAAATGGCCTTTGTGGCAATATGTTGGCGTGTGCACGGCGTTTCTAGTAACACTATACACATTTTGCAAGGAAAAGAAGTGAAATCAAGTTCATCTTAAAGATGTGATGAAGGCAGGATGCATTAACTCAGCACCTATAGTAGAACATGCAACATGATCTTTCGCCCAACGTTCCACATACTTGTTTGCAGCCTCATTCAGTCTGAAAGTAGAAGTGACACAAGTCATAAACTTTTTCGATAGCTACCGGGGATTTTTTCGAACAACCTTTTCTTGATTTTTGCATCTCGCTTCTATAAAAACAATTAGTTGAACAGCTGCTATTGACTTTTTTGACAAGATGTTCAAAATCACTTTGTTTCTTACTCAGGCTAATCATGTGGAAAATGTGAGATTCAAGGGCCAATTACCATACCCAGCATACTTTTCAAGTCTTCCCATTTCACCCATTGCTTTCAAAAACTGTTATCTGGGCGGAAACAATTTGGGGCACTTGAAATAAATTAGCCATAATGAAACCCTGGCATAAAGCTCTGTATGTGCCGCTGAATGCGCGGCGAGTTTTAAATTCAGCCACAGTAGACTAAAAAAAGTATGCCTGCAAAGCTTTCATTTAAAGAGGGCTCCGAACAAAATTCTTCGCCGTAGCGATAATGTCGGTGATATATCATTTATTCCCATATAATAAGCTGCCGTCCGCCTCGACAAGCCCTAACGGCAGCGAAGGCGTACTCGACCACCACAAAAGACATGAACTGATCGCCCAGATCCAGTCCAATCAATTTATTTTTCAATCATACCTTCCTCCCGGCAAGTGCACATAAATATATGCCCCGGAAAGGAACGGGAGGGGGGATGTGTATCGCCAGAATGCCATTTTTGTGAGTGAATAGTTCGTGGTGTTTTTGTCGGCTTTTCGGCGTGAACACAGTCACAAAGCGATCGGATTACAAAGGTTGAATTGAAAGCCACAGCTTGGCCATCCAATTACGCTGGATGAATGGCTTTCTCTCTCCGCCGCGAGAGGCCTGTAAACCGTGGCCTGTCAAGTGATAAAATGTGTTACACGGGCCCATTTTGTGCCGTCGAAGATTTTGGCTTCTTTCAAAAAAATAGAACAAGGTCACAATTTTCACCCCAAACGCTTGACTTCCCTGTAAAGTTGTAAAGTGAAAAAACGTCGAAAATGCAACGCTCTTATTTTCTTTATGTGCCTCTTAGTTAATGTTTGCTTAAGATTAATTTGATTTGAAAGCAGAATACATAACCCAAGATAAAAGGAATCGGATAATTGCTTTATTGCATAAACAATACAAGAAAAAAGGTACACAGTCCAACAATATTGACGCATTAAAATAAATTAACGCTGTGACAATGTTTTATAACATCGAATTTGAAATACATGTAGGCCTATTTCAGTTTACCTGTGAGGTTCACCAATTATCCTTCGATTTTCTTATTAAAAAAAGAACCTCTACAAGGTTCTGGAAAGATGGTTTTATTGCGGTGGGGAACGGCGGTCTGCTTTGATCTCCGAAGCAGAACTGTTCCATTTGGGAGACTTGATAGTGTGCTAATTAAAAACTCAATAATTTCTCCTTCTATCCCAAATTGTTGATGTCACTCGGTGTCCTTTGAAGGTATTCGGTTATTCAGTTGCAATTCAGTCTCAGTTAAATAAAATGATAAAAAGTAGAATAATATATCCTTCGAGGGAGGTGATTGAAATACTGTGTACATGTTTTTTTCTCTGCGGGCCTCGCGCATGCACAATGTGTATCCCTGAGTGAATCAAAACGCAACACCGCATTTTGTACACAGACGTATTGTACACAGAAATCGGTGAGCACACAAATCATACATTCACGCACGCGTACATGCGCTACTCGTGAGATAGACTAGTCGCTCATCCAGCACGGGACTCTAATCAGGCCGGACGGATTGCAGAAATGCTCCCAAAATAATTGCTCTTCCCCGCCAATCTCCGAATTTTCTCTCTAAAAGAAAGGAAGGCAGGGATCATCGAGGATCTTTTCTGAGTGTCTGATTGTCCCCCAGCTCTTGGATTTCTCTCTGTGTGGCGTGGTTTAGCCGTCAAAAATATGGCTGGACGAGCGAGCTGGTGGTTTATGGTTGGGATCGTGGTCGTTACCGTGCACGGAGGTGAGTGTTATACCGTGTAATTTCCAGTTATTTCGGTATGGTCGTGGCCCTTAACACAGTGGCGAGTAGTGCCGCGTGTGGGCAAGTTGCATGCCGTACTGTGCACAGAGAGTTCAGGTGTACGTGTGGTCTCGGTTATTAAACAGCTCATTAGTGTTTTTGATTCTTGAAATTCGACGTCAGTTGTGTAAATTTTGTCAACCTTGTTTATTGTTGAAGTTCTGTGTGAGTTGAGGTGTGTTTTGTCTGTGATCGTTCAAGTGTCGAGAAACAAAGTCATACCTTACATTACAGTTACATGTACATGTACAGTCTGATAAAGTTCTTTTGCAATCTGGATTACCAGTTTGATTCAGAATAAATAAGCCTGTGATATAAAATACAGAAGTTACAGAATAACATGAATTGCTTAACTGGTCCCTCCTCCAAATTTACATCATGCATGTGTGCATTTTCATCATCTTCCATGTCTTCAAGAGCTAAATGAACACTTTAAAATATCTTCCAGAAGAATTTTTGTGCAGAACAAAAGTCACTGCATTTCTGCCTAGAGGTATCGAATATTAAAATCAACTGTAAGAATAAAGACAGCTGTGCCAACTTTATGTGCAATGACACCAGTACCACCACAAAGAGCACTGTGTCAACATTGTTTGGTAATATTTTGGTAATGACATTTAATGCAGTCTAATCTGGTAATTTTCACCTTTTTTCAAGAGATTCAGTTCAGTGTGAAAACCTTTAGTTCCACACCACTTCACTATTGTGATCTTTTTTATATACATATTTATGAAACTGGCATATTTGCCAACACTTATTTGCCTTGGACTGAACTTCTGTTGGAAATGCATGAACACAGTCAAGGTTGTAAAAATTGGACCTTGCCACACATTGATGCATCATCTCCTGTCAACCCTCTAGAGAAAGCGCGCCCTGCAATCGTGAAGTTATTCAAAGTAATTTCCGCTCGGAAAGACACAGCGTCTATATGTCTGCCCCTCACCCAACTCTCTGGTGGAAGAGAGATTCAGGCAATGCCTAGGTGGGTGTCTTGTTTTCTCTGCCATGATGAGAGGAGTTTCTTGTTACATCTAACTCCTCCCCCCTCAAAAAAAAGTTAAGGAAAGGAAAAATGCTTCTTGCAGTGGATTGTGGGGATTTAACCTTCCCTCCAGGGATTTGGAGTGGAATGTATCCATACTGGTTATTATTTCAGGCTTGTTTTGGATCCCCTACCCCTCTGAGTCATTAAAGGTACACATGTCTTCAACTGCATGTACATGTACATGTATTCACAAGGTGCTCATGCATACATGTAGACTTTTGGGGTGAACTTTCTGTCCTAACAAACACAGTTTGCAAACATGGTACAGCATGTTCTGGGACTTGCTCTAAGTAGACAGGAAACTTGAAATTAAAAACTGAGTTACAACTTCAACTTCAGTGTGTATAGTCTTGGCTGACATGTAAACCTTCATAAGTTAATTAAGCAGTAGTATAACTACAAGGTAGTTTTATTCACGAGCAAGAATTTGCACTCGTAGCATTTTGATTGAATCCTTTCAATTGGAGACATTGGAAATTTGTAGAATTTAGTTGGTAAAAGGTTTTTTAAAATGGCCTTTGGAAGTTGATTTTCCCCAAATTGGTATGAGTGCTTTTCAGACTTGGGAACAAATTGTTAAAGCCAGTGTAAAGGGTTTTTCACATGTGAATTTCTTTAGAGAATGGTGTTTTTTCTTTCATGTTTCACATAAGAAAGGAAGATTATGTATTCTGCACATGTTTTGAAGTCAGCTGAGTTGAGTTCACTGGTGCATAATCTTCATGATGTGGATTTAATGTAAACTACCCTGATGTTTAGTTTTTGAGTCTAATCAAATATGTCGTGATGCCCTCCCCCCCTAGAATTTTAATGAGATTAGTCGCCTGCATAGAAATAGGAACCATTTCAGAGCTCTTTGTAGACAAAAGAGATCTACCTGGGCAAGAGGCTCTCAGCTTAAAGAAAATTCCCCCTTGGCCAATTGATCAATGTGAATTGCACCCCCCTCTCCCATCCACTACCAAGTTGGCTCATTCTTCCTGTGAGAAGCACTTGGTCATTCATGAGGGGATCTTGGGGCAGTGAGTGATATAATAAATAGTGGGAATCAATACACTGTCTCAAGTGCCTGGAGCTCTGAGAAAAGGGCCGGACAGTTGTCCTGAGGGGAAAAGACATTATCATAGTACATGGACAGTATTAGAGCATATTTACTGGCCGATTTTGCTAGAGTAAAAGTCAGGGATAGATAAGATTTGTGATTGCTTATTGGTTTGTGTACAAGGACAAGAAAAAGAAATAAACCATGATTCGTGCATGAAAGCTAAAGACAGTCTTAGTCATTGCAATTTATATGAACCTAGGCTACATGTACTCTATTGTCCTGGTTAATCTTAAATGACATGGGAGGTCACCAGAACTTTTGAAATAGACAGTGGAGGCTCTGTGGTTACAGGTTTGTCCGAGAAAAAAAGGCTGATTCAACCTCAAATTTCTTTATATTTGAAGAAGCAGTTTGACAGTGTTGAGACCTGTACTTGTGCTTGCAGTTTTTTTTCTACATAGTAACTAGCATATATCATTGTCCTGTGTTTTGTAAGCATACATGTGCATTGAGGGATTGCTCAAAAACGGTTTGTTGTGCGCCACAAAAGTACATGCACCTTTTGCTGTTGTTGCTTTCCTTTTAGCACTATTGACATTATTAGTTATCACAAGCACAAGTGGAATATGGAATAGTAAAGTGCATCTGTGTCCGTCATGCCACATGTTCGAGGACCAATGATGGGTGGGACATTTTCTTATTTTATTTATTTATTCTGGCAAAAAGACAATTTATAATAACAGTCACAGTACAAAAACACAAAAATACTAAGAATAGTAAAAGGCAGAAGCCAAGGATAGCCCAAGAAAGCTGTAACAAACAGCTTATTTCCATTGGGGTTCCTCACAAAAAGAAAAACATTGATATAATACTAAAAATATTAAAAAAATACACTGGTGGTTAACGTAGATACTTTTTTGAAAATGTATAAAATTTTGAAAAATAACCCACAAATTCAAAATTTAAATTCTTTATCACGTGTTCTCATGTGATAAAAAATTGATTTTAAATCAAACTTCATGAAAATAATAATGAAATTATACCAAATGTCAATATCAGTGGGCGAGTGGTTTGCAAAACATTTTAGAACAGTTTCATTGGCAGTCCTCCTTACATATGCCATCCTGCAAACAGTCGGAAATTGCAAGCAACCCTAGAATCGTAATGAGGTGTGCGGGCATTTAAATGCGTCAATCAGCATAAGAAACAAACATCCCACTTTTGAATAATTCACAGTGAATTCTGCAGCTGTAGCATAAAAAGCATTTGCACAGAATAAGAACAGTGAAGCACATCAGGTGTGATATCGACCGTGCAAAACACTATAATATCACACTGGTGGATCGACCAATCAGCATTGCGGATTTAAGTTTTGCTTGAAGGTAATGGAAAATGCATGTATCCACCTCTTAAATTCTCCTGTATGTTGAATCATACTGTGCAGCTTTGGAACTGGTTCTTTCTGCTTTTTTTCCTTGAGCAGTTTGACTGGAAAAGGAAGTCCTTGGTAAATTTAGGGGTCAGCAGCTGGCAGGCTATCTGCCCAGAAGAAACTTGGTCTGGTGCCATAGTCACTGCAAGGAAACTGACACCTTTTAGGCCGTGGACAACACAAATGGGCAAAGCAAAGTGGGTCATGCAGTGGCATCACAAGAGCAATCAGATACCAGGATCAGATCCTGAATGGCAGAAAATATTGAGTAGTTGTGGTTGCAGATACATACACAACCTACTGGCCAAGACCTGAGGCTGTAGCCAAATCCCATTTTTTTCACCATTGGCTTACTACAGTGAAAGGCCATAAGCCATGCTTTCAGTGTCACTGTCAGACTTGGCTGATGGAAGTCTAGAATCCAATTCAGCCTTCTTGGTAATAGACATACAAAATTGAGTTGGTGAATATCAGCATTTGTCATCTGTATAATTGACTTTTCTATTTCCATACAAGTGTGATTACATATATACTGCACATACTGTACATGTACCTTTGTTGCATTGAGGAAAACTACTGAATCATTCAGTCTTGTTTATAGTCCCTCCCTGGGGGGGAGGGTGGGCTTGGTTTTGCTTCCATCTCTTCCATCAGGGTCCCCATAGGGAGGCCACTACCAGGGCAGATAAGATTTCAGTAGAACTGTCAGGGCATGATAGCTTCCAGATCCCGAGGATGCTAATGTGGGCCACACATTCAAAAATAATGTCCCCATTGCAATGTTGAGGGAAGGTGCATAGTTTTAGGACGTGGATCATTGTATGTGTTGCTGGGTCATCCTTGGCCATTTTGTAATGTTTTGATCAGACTGTCCCTACAGAATGCTCTGCATTAGATTACTTTGAGGTCTAGGCTACATGAATAATACAGGCTTTGCATGGTAGCCATCTTGCAGGGTAGCTTTTTTGTTCAGACAGAGAAGCCTCTGTTGCACATACTGGTGAACAAAAACACTGGCCCGCAGGAATTGGCAGCCATGCAAACCCTCTATAAGACAGTGTCGGTGTCTTGAAACTTAAAACCTATTTCGTCACATATCCCAGAGGGGAAAGTGCATGGCGATCTTTCCAACTTTAGGCAAATTGTTATCTCTTTGGCTGCTGTTATGCAGACAGGAAATGGCATTTTGTTTCAGTACAGATCTAAAGTTTGCATATTGGGGAATGACTTGTCAGTCTGCACATTTCAGCCTTGAGTGAGGAGTTGTACGTGGGCTTGCCATTAAGTTACTGATTTCTTTTCATAAACTTTTAATTTTTCGGTGATCGTTAACTAGCTTAGGATGCTTGGGGGTGGGTTTTGGGAAGGGTGATATTTGGGGAAATATATTCAATGTTTTGTGTAAATGACGCACTTTG